TCTCAATCACTACAGCAAAATAAATTCTAAGTACCTATACATTTTTAATTGCTTAGTATGAAGTAGATAAGCAGTATTAGTTGTACAGGTTATTTTTACTTCACAGGCAGTCTCTTTTGTCTTTTGTCAAGTAAGCTAGCTTCCAAATAAAAGCAAATGTTGGTTTCCTTGATGAAGGCTTTTGTGACCAAGTTCTGTTAGAAAAATATGGCCATATTAAGTTAAAAAACTGAGCATAAACTTATTAAAAATGTTACCTAACCAACAGTTTAAAACATGTGCTTTACGCAGCAATTACTTCTTTATTAAATTTATACGCTGTCCTTCCCAAGAAAGGACTCAGGGTGACTTACAGTAGATCAAATAAAGTATAAAGGCAGCTAAAATATTAAATAAATAAGATGCAAGCAGTAGCCCAACTGAACCTTGCTTGCTAAATAAATGCCTGCCCAAATAAATATAATATAAATGTAAGAAGTTAGTTTTTACATTAAGTGTCTATCTGAATCAGAGGTGCCTTTCTGGAGAGATTTCAAACTTGGTAACCTTCCAGAAATGCTGCAAAAGTAATTTTTATGAGAGTTTTTGCAAAAGTTTGCAAGTATAGAGGGACAGAGTTGGAAGGTTTTTTTTTCTTATTATTGTTTTGAACTGTTGGATAACAGAATTAATCAGACTAGTTAACTCAGCTTCAGGAATATAGCTGATGATATTTATAGGTAACCTTGACTATATAAAAATGTACTTATTCCAAGTAACCATAATCGTTGTATGCTTACTTAATAGGGTACCTACAGGTCTGTGAGGGCACCTCTTACACGTTGAATGAGCTTTAGTTAAAGTGCCCCTACCACCTTTTTGAAATGCAGGACACTGAATACATGAGACACTGCAGGTGTTTTAATTAGAGTGGCTCTTGAGAGCCAATCTAATTAAAAATACCTCCCCCCCTGGAATCCTGGAGCACATGTATAGGTGCCCTGAATTGTCAAAGCTGTGTAATAAATGTGTGTTTATATTATAAATACAATAAAGTTATACATAATCTGAATATAAAAGTGTGACATTTCTAAAAAGACCATTTCATATTATTATCCTATTTGCTAGTAAAACAGGAAATCCGTAGTAAGTTCCACCCATAATAATGACCACCAATTCACCAGCTACACCAAGTGGCTTCTCTTCTCCCTTTGGAAAATCCAGTCTTTCTAGAAGGCACAAAGGTTAATAAATCTAAATTCTGTCAACCAAAAGGGAGACCTGTCAAACTTGAGGGTGCCTCATGGATAATAATAGGAAGTTACAGCTCCACTATTGTAAATAAAAAGATGTCTTGATAACAAAAACTGTTTTTAAGTTATCAATAGTGTGTGATAACTCAGAAATAGAGATCTACTTTAGTCCACAATATATGCTGCATAACTTTCTCTGTCATGAAATAGAAAATTAAGTAGATTCCATTTCTGTCATAGGGGCGGAGGAGACTTGCTCGTGATGCAACACCTGCTAAAAAAGAAACAGAAGATGATAAAACACAGGACAAATTAAAGGACAGTAACAAAGAAAATAAAGAGGTAGATGAAACACCTGATAACGCAGACAAGAAGGAAAATGAGACTCCATTAGGGAAAAAGAATACACCAAAGCAAAAGGAAAAGAAAATGAAAAAACAAGAGGAATCTGATAAAGAATCTGATGAAGAGGAGGAGATCAGGAGAGAAAGGTACATTGTTAACTTATACCTAGTGTTGAGACTGTGTCTGTGCAGTGCTGCAGCAACACTGTACATCTAAGCACAAGGAAGGTTTGGGACTGGTCTGATATCTGAACTCGAGAAATGTGAAAAATGTGGGCTTTGATTCACTCACAATTTGTCCCTTCCTGTGTAACAGCATCTCCCTGAGCCAGCAAGGGCTGCTGTACTGATAAAGGAGGTCATCCTTGAGAAATGGCAGGCGGTGTTATACATAGAGCTCCTCCAGGGCAGGCAGCTTTTTTATTTTGGGGGCTGTCCAGGAGTTTCTGACAATTGCCCAGGTGATATGCTTAATCAGTATGTCCCAGGATGCTCAAGTTCTGCTGTCAGCTTAGCCTCACTTCTGGGACTGCTGTAAGCTAACAGTGCACCAGCCGTAAGTAGTAGGCACTGTTGCACCATTCCTGTGGATGGACTTCAGCCACTGTGGGCTCAGTGTATACTGGCATTTCATTATAGTAATGTGCACATGTGCCAGCTAGGATAGGGATCTCACTGTGCTAAACATTGTGTAAACATAGTGAGTGATGGTTTCTGCCCATATATAGATATTTAGAAGGAGATGCTATATACAGAATAGCCAGTAATGACTGGCAAATATACAATATTATTTGTATTAATATTTAAAGGTATTATGGAGGACAGTGGGGAGGTGGGAAAGATGAATTAAGAACATGAGGAAAGAGATTGTGATGAATGAAAGAGAGAAGGATTGAATGAAGAGGACAAGAGAAAGAACATGGAAGGCACAAAGAGAGAGACTGACCACAAGAAAGGATAAGGGGATGGTGGAGCAAAGAGCCAGTCAGCGGGTAGAAAAATATTATTCTCAACCTAAACTGACAGGCAGAAATGTATTCAAATCGCTAGTTTCCAAAAAGTTAGGCAAGTGGAACAGGCCTTTTACTTCCCACCACACTAGGCCTGGCTGCCCTCTGACTGTGTCTTAATTGTTTAAGCTGGCTTTGCCACTTGGGATGTTGTTGTTCTTCTCTTCTAGTCCTTGTGGCTGGGGGAGCAGGGCCTACTTGGGGCACAAGTTGAGACTGAATCAAGCCTGATGTGTGTTGTTTGAAGCAACTGGAGAACGTGCTGGTTGCACCATCTCATTTTGATGCACTTGTGGCAAAAACAGTGACTTCAAGGAAGGCTGTGCCATGCAGTTAAAAGAAAGACCTTGCAGAATAACACAGAAAGCAAAAATTCCATTCAAACATAGATACAGTGTGGGTGTACAGCAGGCTGCATAGGTATGTTAAATATCTATGGTGTCTTAAGTCTTTTTTTTTTCCTTTTTTTTTTTTTTTAATGGTAGGTAAGTGCCTTGTCAGTCATCTTCCCTTTTTGTTTAATCTGTTCCCTCAGCAAGATCTTTCTTTCTTGACTATGCCTTAGAATTTATTTTCTGTTTAAAAGTGAATTATGCTTTTTGGCTGTTTTATCTCTTTCTCTTGTTATCTCTGTCTCTTAGTATCTCTTTATCTCTTGTTATTAGTTTAAAGTTTTGCTTCACTCAAAATCTAATTTTTGTTTTCTTTTTAAAAAAGAAAAAGGTGGGAAACCATGCAGGTAAGTAGATCAGATGAGATGAGGGTTATTAAAAAGACAATTTCGGTACACCTGCCCCTTATTTTAAACAGTAGATAAAATTATTAAAAGCTTCAGAGTTTATTTCTTGTTAAAAGGCATTTGTTATCATCTTCAGTGACAATGCAAACTTAGCTCACCATCAGTGAGGTGGGTTCTATAAAGTAAACCAGAGAGGATGCAACATTTAAAATAGCGTGTCCAAGCAACTGTATTAGCACTTAAACTTACAGTCTCCTCATCGTCTTTTCCTGTTTTTGTTAGGCCTCAGAAGTGGATAATATATTCCCACTGCCTCTCTTTCATCAGCATGACCATTTCCAAAGGGTGACTTTTCAAACGTTGAGATATATTTATGCATATTATGGTTCATATTAAAAGTGGTTTATGAATAAATCCTATGCATCATTTTAGCACTTATTTCCTTTCTCTTTGCATAAATCCTGTTTTCTGATTTGAAGAAACTGTATGTTCAAGTTGCTTTTTGTATACTGCGCTTATGAACCAAGGATATCCCTACTCCTTCTTCCTCATTTAGAAAGGGACTGTCTGTCTGTGATTTTGAAATCATCAGTCTATGTCCCTAATCCATGGGTATTTTAAATATACCTTGTTACAGAGAGGAAATTGAAAACAAAGGAGAATCAGAAGGGGAGGATGATGAGGAGGACACAGAGCCCTGTCTAACTGGAACCAAAGTGAAAGTGAAATATGGACGAGGAAAAACTCAGAAAATTTATGAAGCCAGTATTAAAAGCACCGAAGTTGATGATGGAGAAGTTTTATATTTAGTACACTACTATGGTTGGAATGTAAGGTAAGAATGGGAAATTATATCTAGGTACTATAATCCAAATTTTATTTAAAAAAAATCTTAGTGGAAGGTAAAGGGTAACAAATCACTGAGCACCACAGTAAATTAGTAACATGGAAGAGTCAGATCATGCTAATGCTTTTTCATGTGTGTAACTTCTCACATGTGAATAGTCCTGTTTAAGCTACTGGAATTCCTCACATGCCCGTTTGCAGGTTTTTAGCCAATCTCTTCTTAAAACTATGTAGCTTTGTTAGTTTCAAATGGAGTACTTATATCAGTAAATTGTAGTACGCCATGGGCAATGCATCAGCAGGGTATGTGGTGGCATGTGCCCCTTTCCCTCCCCACCCCAGATTTCTGCACCCACAGTAGGGCATGGGGCTGTAGCCTGGCTGGATTGGGACCAGACGGGAGCTGCCTGTGGCCCAGTGGGCAGGATCCAGCACAGGAGGAAGCACTGTGCTGCGATGGCCACCAAAGTGAGGCACCCCCTGCCCACTTGGCACCACGTGGTGCGGGGGGTGCAACTCCACACCTCCGTTGCTGGAAGCCCTGTGCCAGCCATGCCACCATAGCTGCCAAGGTGAAGCGCCCTGGTGGCAGCAGTGCAGAGTTGTGCCCCCCTGCTGATGCCAGGTGGGCAGGAGACACTTCACCTTGCTGGCCATGGTGGTGCAGCACTCCCTGCGGTGGGTGCACCAAGCCTCCCCACTCTGCCCTCCTACACTAAGTTCTGCCCACTGGACCACAGAGGCAGCTCCTGTTCAGTGCTGGTCTGGCCAGGCTGCAGCCCTGTCCCATGCCCCACTGTGGGCACAGAAGTCTGAGAAGGCATGTGCCCCCCCACATGTCATCTATGCCCCGCCACCCTCCCCTATGCCTCTTCCCCCCATAGACTTACCTGCAGGGAGCTGCTGTCCACTGCACTACCTGGCTGCATTGCTGGCTCTATGCATGTGTGTGTGCACATCTGCACATGGCCCCCTGCCTCTGATTGCACTCCCCCTGCTCCCCCAGCAGCTCCTCTCAAGCAGGCCTGTGCAGGCTGGGTCTCTGCCAGCCTGAAAGAGAACCTGGGAAACCGCAGGGTTTTTTTCCTTTAAAGCGGAAAAATCTGCATTTTTCCACAGGAAATGGAAAACCTGGATCCCTGCTTATCAGGATACAGTATACTATTTTAAGCATAAACAACAGTTTATGTATTAAACTTGGATGTTTAAATGAGCAAAGTTGTGCTGACACCTGAATATCGGCTATAATTAAAGATAATATTTGGTAGAGAAATTTATGAATAGGGGAAAAGCTGAACTTTGTAAAGAGCTACTGGGATGGGGAAAGGTCCCCCAAATGATCCTGCTAGAATCCAGAAGAAATTCTTTAATAGAGGTTGTATTAATGGACCTTGTTACAAATAATGTACTGCATGTACAATAAATGCCACATAACTTAAAAAAAAATAATTTTTTTGTGTATACAATTTGAAACTGCCATCTCTTTAAGTTCCTGAGGAATCTAAGTAGACTTCCATCACCTCCCCCCAACAAATATATTTTCACATCACTTCTTTATAGCTTAGCAGTGCAGGAAAATTTAATAGGTATAAATGTGCCATCTGTACCTTTCAAAAATCTCTGTCAATATTTGTAATTGCCTTTTGCCAGAAGTTTTAAAGATTGCTATTGCTGTTACTTCTACTAACAATAACAAAAATAAACTCCTGATTTTTGTATCATATTATAGTAAAACAGTTTTTAACTGCAATAGTAACAGTATGCTGTGTGTTTGCTTTGCCTTTAGATATGATGAATGGGTGAAAGCTGATCGGATTATCTGGCCTTTGGACAAAGGAGGACCAAAGAGAAAACAAAAGAAAAAAGCAAAAGTAAGATTATTTGATCAGTAAGCTGCTCACTCCCTAATCAGCGATTTTTAATATGTAGCACAAGAGAGGTAATTCTGACTCTGAGCACTGATGTATGTTCATAAAATGCCCTATTTTTGTTTTCAGAATAAAGACGACAGTGAAAAAGATGAAAAGAAGGATGAAGAGAAGCAGAAATCAAAACGTGGACGTCCCCCTCTGAAATCTACACTTCTATCAAATATGTCTTGCAACTTATCCAAAACACCTAATAGTGAAGGTAAAGCAGGAGCCAGAAGTGCAAGGAGTAATTTGTCAGTTTGTTCACCATTACCAAATGGAACAGAAGGTATATCTGCTGGGAACTTTCACGATTGTTTAATTGACCATATATGGATGTTTGTGTAAGCACTAGCAAGGTAAATGTGTGTCAGTTTGAAAACTTAAACATTTTGCTGTGCTGTAAAGCAGCAGTTTTAGTCCCATGCAGTCAGCCAGCTTACTAGCACAATATACCACTTCACGATTTCTGGTGCAATATTTATTCTATATAAATTAATTAATTTTGATTTTGATTTTAGCAACACCTCGCAGGCAAACGAGACGTAGCTCAGGAATGTTTGATTCTGATAGGGGATCAAACGGTGAGTGATCTCTGTCCTGTGTGTGCTTTTAGAACCTTTTTGAAATAAGGTTTAATTTTTTTTCCTGGTGAATTTTAATGCTGCTGGTAGAGCTAAATTGACATTGCTGGAGAGCAAAGTCATCTGTTTACCACCTAAAGCGAAATGTAATGGGCAATTGGTATTTGATCTTCCCAAGGGGGTGTCCACCTATTCAGTGGCTGGAGGCCACTCCCAGAGCAAGGCACAGACTCCCCAGGCTGCACACAATTTGGATGCCCTCCTGCTGCACCATGTCTGGGCTCTCCTTCCCTACCCCCCTGCTGTGTACCCTGTACGTGAGCTCTGCCCCCTCACCCTGTTCTATGGTGGGCAGAGGCAGGCAGCAAAAGCTAGAGGAAGAAGGGGGAGTCCAGGGACATCAGCTGCTGTTGCAGCTTCAGTGATGGGGGGGGAGTGGCAGCTAGGTAGGAGCCGAGGGGCTGTAACTTAATCCCTCATGGGCCACCAGTTGGACAGCCCTGATGCACTTTGTGTTCCCTAATCGCTGTCCCTCAATCCTGATTTTAAGAAGATAAGTTCCAGAGATAGGAAGTGAACTAGTGCTATGGTCATTCAGTCTTCAACATCACTGCTGATGCCTCTAGCAAGGTAGTTAAGTACAAATGGTTGTGTCACAGGGTGGGGCACCGGGGCGGCCGTGATCCCCCTGGCGCCCTTACCGTGCCACAGTCTGGGTCCTAAATGCACCCTTTGTCTCGCCCGCCACATCTTTGATCTTATGATTATCAGTGGAAGGCTGCCTTCTGTCCCCTTGCACACGGCGCTCTTGTACTGGCGCACCCCACCTTATGGGCTACGTGTGCCTCTTTCCTCCCCTGTAGCACACCCCAAGCCTCGCAGTTGTACCGGATGTTCTTATGCCTATATGCTCGCCCCTCCCTGGGCTTGCCTCAATACGCGCACCCCCTCTCTGGGGTCCCTCAGTATGCGTGCCCAATAAGTTCGCCCCCTCTCTGGGGCCTTTCTGGAATATGCGCCCTCCCCGGGCTCCTGTTCACCCCCTCACCCTTCTCCGGGCTTCTCAACTGCACACTCTGTCCTTCTCCGGACTTTTCACCGCGCGCTTGGCCCTACTCTGGACTGTACACCGTGTGCCTCACGCTCGTCGCCCTCCCTGGGCCTGTCCCGCGCTTGTCGTGCTTGGGGCTCAGGTGGCCCGCCGCCATGCCTGGCCCCCTGACCCTTCTCAGGGTCCTACGCCCTACTAGGCAAGTACCGCCCTCACGGGCTGCGGCCTAATACCCCACACGCAGCGCCACACCGGCGCCAAACAGCCGTGCCTCCCAGGCACTGCTTGCTGTGCCCGAGCAGGGCAGGCAGGAACCCCCAGACTCCTGGGGAGCTCCCATGAGGCCTCCTCACACCCCTACAGCCTCACCCAGTCCTCCGGTTTAGTATTGCAAATAACCCAACAGAAACTCCAGCCATGAGCCAACCGGCTGTAACTCAAAACAGTAAGCCTGCCAGCTATAACATAATTGCGATGCCACCCTGGCTTACTTCCTAAGCCTCCCTGTCAGGGTTCTCTCCCCTCATACCGTGCCTCAGACGGTCAGGCTGTCAGGTTGCTCTGCTCTGCTCCATAGCAGGGCTGCTGCTCCTGCCACCACGGGAGGGGAACTGCCCACTAGGCTCCGGCCCAGCCGCTTATAAAGGCCAGGCCCAGCCCCCTGGCAGTCAGCTGACCCAATCAGCTGTCCTAGCAACTCTCACCTGCTGTCCTGGTGAGTGACAGCTAAGCCCCTTCTACCATTATTCAGTAGCAGGCACCCTAGTGTCCTGCTACAGGTTGCAACATTTTTTTGATGGTGTGAACCCAGGTCCAGAAGAAATTGAAGTGAAACAGTCAACTCCTTTCATACAGTTTCCAGCAACATAATAATCTGGCAGCATAATAGTGCTTGTTGTATATAAAGTGTCTTATTCATGCCAGTGGTTTAACAATGAAATGTCTGTATCCTGTTACTTGTTTTCTGAGCCATCTATTCTTTTTTGAGGTCAATTCAAAGGGAAGGAGATCTCTTACAACTGAAATCTTTAGATAGAGAACCTGTAAAAGCATCTTATCCTCCTGAAATGTGTTGCTTTTTGGGGATATAGAAATAGCAGAGTAATGTTAACAGAATAAAAAAGAACTTGCTTTCTATGGAATGGCTGATACCATGTATCCAGAGCGATCTAAAATAGCATTAATAAAAATGGTAGCAAAAGTAGGTCAAATATAATAGCAACTTTTTTATAGTTGAAGTTGATGCAAAACTGGAACTGTTGAGTATTTGTGTGGCTGAAATCAGAAGTTGTGTTTTAACTGATGATCTTTTTTGGCGTGTTTACCTTTTTGTGTTTGGCAGACTCTGACTCATCTGACAGTGAGGGAGATGAGAGTTCTGAAAAGACTTTGAATGAATTTTCTCCAGAAATTTCAGAACCAGAAAAAAATGAAAAACTAATTGATGAGAAACCTGATGAAGAAAACCCAAAGATTTCACACGCATTGAAAGAAAACGACAGGACTCAAGTGCAGCCATTAGAAATTCTGAAACTGGAAGTTGAAGAAAGTGAGCAAATTGTTCAGATTTTTGGAAATAAAACTGAACAAGTGGAAGACATTAAAAAAGAGACTGAAAAATCACCTAAAGGGAAGGGGAGAAGGAGCAAGACAAAGGACCCTTCTTTAGAGAATGTAAAGATTCCAGGAAGCCAGGAAGAGGCAACAAATGAATCTCTCTTAGAAACTGAAAGATTAGATGTTTCTTCATTGGATACTAAAGAGTTTTCCACCACTACTGAAAATGAAATGGAACCTTGTATAAAGGATAAGAAATTTTTGAAAAGGAAAACAGAACAGTCATCCCCTGATAAAAGAGTACGACTGGAGAGTGAGACGGAAGTGTCAAACATTGCAACTGAGAAGACCAATGAATGTATCGGGACAGCAGAATGTAAAGATTTAAATGCTGAAGAATCACTCAGAACTGAAAATGAGGAAATGCCATCGCTAGTGGCAGAATCAGACCAACGGGTTCAACAGCTAATGAATGAAAACTTTGAATGTCCATCTGAGGAAAGTGGGAATGTTCCATTAAAAGATGAGGATGACACCATGCCTCAAATTGGACCAGAAACTCTCCTCTGCCATGAAGTGGACTTGGATGACTTTGACGAGAAGGAAAAGAGCGTCACTGAGGATGCAGTGTTGGAAAAGCCAGGCTCCAACACTCCACATTCAAACCCATCTGCCTTACCCTCTGCAGTCCAGCCAAACTTCTCAGTGGCCTCACCCCTTACCCTTAGTCAGGATGAATCACGCAGTATAAAGAGTGAAAGTGATATAACTATTGAGGTGGACAGTGTGGCAGAAGAATCTCAAGAAGGTCTCTGTGAAAGTGAGTCTGCTAATGGATTTGAAGCCAGTACGACTTCAAGCATTTGTAGTCTAGCAGTACAAGAAAGGGACACTGGAGAGAAGGGTAAGTCTCTGCTAAGTCTCCCTTTTTTGACAGATCCTGAAACCACCACTGTCTGTTTTTCCTTAGGGTGGCTGGTATACAATGAAAAAGCTATTACATTAGCAGTTAGCTGTCTTTAAAGATCATTTTGATTCAAACCTATATGTTAGACCTTGCATATATTAGAGTGTGTTCTTCTGTCCAGCAGGTCAAAAAAGGCCAAGTGATGGCAATAGTGGGACACTGGCAAAGAAGCAAAAGCGTACTCCAAAGCGAACAAGTGCTGTAGCCAAAAATGAAAAGAATGGAACAGGTAGGTTCAGCAGGGGATGCTTGTATATGGCATGTGTATAGAAAAAAACTGCTGCCCTGGGATGTAGACCACCATTTTTCATAGATAGGAGTTTCCTTGCCAGGCCTTTCCATTAGTATTAATGGATCTAGAACCATGATAGAAATGGGTATATTAGCTATGCGATAAGCTGGTAGTTCCATGACTATCATCTTTTTTTTTTTAATCAGTTAGTGGTTTTTCAAAGTAACTGAATGTAAGAGCACACCGACTATTTACCTTTCTTCTGGTCATTTTCTTCCTTTTCTTTGCTGAATAGAATCGCTTTCTTGAAAATGTGGGTCAAGTGCTTTTCATGCAAGAATAAAGGTTAATTTTAATGTACAAGAAAAATATTTTTGAATTAATTTAGATAAGTGTCACACTTCTAGGAAGAAAATGTTCATGTTCACACTTTGATTGGATACATAACTTTTTTTTTTTAATTTGCTGAAATCTGAATTTACTCTCACAGCTCATTAGTGATAACGCTGACCAAAGCTAAAAGAATGTAATTCAATCAGTCACCATAGTCGGTGGCAAATAATAGCATTTTTCAGATTTAAATGCCACATACTGAAAATATTTGGATTCCTACAGTAACTGAAAAAAAATTAATGAGTTGTTAAAGTTATACCTTCATTATTGTATGCAGAGTGAGGAGATTAATATTTCTATGGGCACTGTAACTTAAAATGTTTGGAAACTTGTGCATCTTGAATGTGCAACTGCTCTATGTTACTATTGTCAAAAGTTATATATTGCAGGGGGGAAGGATGTTAAAAAAAGATCCAGTAACTGTGGACTGAAACAAATATTAGATTACATGTTTATTTTTAATGCAAGTGTGTCAAATTAGATTTAAAAAAATACAATATTTGGATTTGCTGATAATTTGATAACATTTGGAATACAGGTTGTAGCCATATTGGTCTACAGGCAAAAGGAATCAGAACTCGTGGTAGAAGCAATATCTTTTATTAGACCAACTATGCCTGAAGAAGAGTGCGTGTGCCTGAAAGCTTGCAAATAAAGGGATTTTTTTTGCAAATATTTAGTTGATCTAATAAAAGATCTCACCTCTACCTTGAGTTTTGATAACATTTGGAATGCATCCGGCAAGCAGGTTCTTTTGAGTAAAAAAGTGCAGTTTTTTGTTAGTCACTTTTTCAACTATAACTACAGTTTTGGGGGACAGAAATTGTAGTCTTTAAAGAGTACCAAAGTACTGGTTCTTCTAATCCAAATTAATTTCTCATAGGACAAAGTAGTGACAGTGAAGATCTTCCAGTCCTGGACAGTTCAAGTAAATGTACTCCAGTCAAACACATTAATATGTCAAAACCACAGAAGCTTGCTCGATCCCCAGCGAGAGTGATTTCCCCTCATATCAAAGATGGAGAAAAGGAAAAACATAGAGAGAAACATCATCAGCAGAATGCTTCTCCCAGAGTGTATAAATGGAGTTTTCAGCTCAGTAAGAATTTTTTTAAGATCTTATATATTTAAGTAATATTTATATTGGTCCAAGGTCCATGGCTTATTTTCTAGAACAATTCCAAGTAAGCACTGTGAAATGACAGAACAGGGAGCAATGGTCTCAGTTTGCAGCAAGGGAGGTTTAAACTGGATATTAGGAAAAACATTCTCACTAAAAGGGTGGTGAAGCACTGGAACAGGTCACCTAGAGAGGTGGTGGAATCTCCATCTTTGGAGGTTGTTAAGGCCCAGCTTAACAAAGCCCTGGCTACAGTGATCTAGTTGGGGTTGGTCCTGCTTTGAGACTAGATGTGACCTCCTGAAGTCCCTTCCAACTCAAATTTTCTATGATTCTATGAACAGTATTGTAAAACTATACTGAGTGGTATTTCTGTGCCTTACAGTTCACACACAAGAATCCCTATAAAAATTGCTATTTAAATTTTCATTTTCTCTATTCTTGCCCTTACTCCGCAGTTTCATTTTTTTGTTGTTGTTATTTCAAGATCATGAAGCTGACATTTTATAAATTTGAATGTAGCCTAGAGTTATCCCAATTTTCAGATGGCATTAAAAGTCATTAATTGGTAATTCAAGAAGTACTGAGTTGTCAGCTGCTAAAATTCAAGTTGCAAATGAAGTGTGAGATGGCAAAAGAATTTTGGTTTTTGGATTTTTTTGCCTATGGTCCAAAATAGTGTAGCCTTAAACTGTGGGAAACTAAGACATCTTCAGGACAAGTAGTATTTTTACTCTTAGGCAGTACTGATGATCAATCATTAGGCAGAGGGGAGAGAAATGTCGACCTTTACAAGCATGATGGAAATGTATAGCCTTCTGTTCATGGGGAGCACAGTTCTTTTTAGTCTCTGTCCCTAGAATTTAAGCACCCTGGATTAAATGGAATTAATCAGACAGTTTGTGTTTTGAAGGAAATATATAAAGGCTTTGGCACCTTATCTTGGATGTAACCTTATTTAATAGTAATGTTGGTGTGTATGATATCATCTATGAATTACAGTTACCTTTTTAACAAAAATTGAGTAAAATTATTTTTTCCCCTCTTAAAGATGAATTGGACAACATGAACAGCACTGAGAGAATCTCTTTTCTGCAAGAAAAATTACAGGAAATACGGAAATACTACATGTCTTTGAAGTCAGAAGTAGCAACCATAGACAGGAGAAGGAAACGATTAAAAAAGAAAGATAGAGAAGGTATCTTTAAAATTTACCTTTACTGTATAAGCCTTCTATCATAAGAAGCCTTTTGTGAAAATATAAAACTTCTTTATTTTACAGATTTTAAAACTCACCCTTATTGTAGCATCTAATGAAGCAGGTTGTTTCCCAAGACAGCCTCTCTGAACCAGTTAGCTTAGGGCCACATTGTCTGGCCCCAGGGCACCCCATGGCAGAAATTTGGCAGCGGGGGTGCAGGAATTAATGCTCCCACTACTCCCACTGCCAAATATTCATACCTGTGGGGAGACCCATTGAGCTCGATGATACGGCTCCATGTACTGCGTCTGGACCATGGACTAAATGTTTAACACCTCTGAATTAGCTGTAAGGGCCTGACAGACATTACATGTATTGTGCAGTATTAATGCAAAGGTCACACATTTAATGATAGCATGCCAGATGCTAAAGCAATTATCCCATGATAAAAATGGCAAACCCGCTGCAAAAAGTCAAACCTGCCTTAAAAGTTACTTGTTGAAAGTGGAACTTTTCTGGCATGTAAGTATCCCATGTTAATTTTAACATCTGGCATGTTACTTAGACCAGTGGTTCTCAACCTTTTTCCTACCACGACCCATTTGCGAATTCCCATGATCTATCCCAACCCACACCCCCCTGGCCTCTTCTCCCCCCCTGCCCCCCCAGCCATGCTGGTGTCCCTCACTCCTGACCCACAGCCCCCTGCCCGCCCAGCCCTGCCAGGGGGCCCCCCAGCTGCCCTCATCCCACATGGGCTGGAGTACGGCAGCTGTGGTGACTCTGGCTTATGCAAGTGACAGCTGAGTGAGTCCGGCCCTGGCACAGGTTGAAGGGAGGAGGCGGGGGGGCCTGTGGCACCCCCCTTGCCCTGGGCTGGGGCTGCCGCGTGACACCAGGCACCTTGGTCATGGCCCTTCGCACCCCCCGAGCGGCATCTCCTGGCCGCCCCACTTCCACGAGCATGGGCACTGACTCCCAGTGCTGCCAGCCCAGCCACAGAGCTCTAACCCACCCCCTTCCCCTGCTGGAAGAGGCAGATGCCTTCCTGCTGCCCCTCTGCCCTGCTGTAACTCACAACCCTTTGAAATATTCTTGTGACACATTTTTGGGTTGCAACCCATGGGTTGAGAAATGCTGACCTAGACCCTCTACTGTCCTGCAGTGCTCTGCTCTCCCCACCCCTTCTCTAAAGCAGAGAAAGGGATGAGGAGTGTAGTGGGCAATGGGCTGTGGTGGTGGCAGGGGCTGACCAGGGGCAACTCTTCCCAATCAGCCCTTTCAGCCTGCCAGGCATCTTGCAAGCAGCCCTGGGCCTGACTGCCTGCCGTCTTAAATTTACCATCATGTAACCACAGGACAGGGGAGCTGCTCCCTGGGCCCTTTAAAGTCCTGGGGACAGTGTGAGCTAAGGAGCAGCCATCGCCCCTAGCTGAAGAGCATGCCTTTATTGCACTCCAGCCAGGCAGCTTTGGATCTGTGGTCACCCACAGATTTGTTTTTTGTAGTGCTACAAATTTTGGCTTGAGATGCTACTGTACCCTACCTTCTGCCTGGCTTTGCAGGAACATGTCTAACCACCTCTCCCCCCTTTAAAAACATGGACTTCAAAATGTACCGTAAATCTGGGTTTCTGCAATTAGCATAACAAAATCTAGTTCTTTTAAGATTTCAGAAATACAGAAATGGTGATATTGGTTGTCCAGTTCACATGAACCTGAGAATTAAAAAAAAAATAATTTAGACCAGTTTCATAAAACTTTTTTTTTCTAGTTAATATTGTTATCTTGAATTCAGTACTAGTTGCTCTGATACCATGGCGATGAGTTCAGTAAAATCATACTGAAACATGAGAACTTGCTAGTGGCTGCATGAGCAATCCATCTGGATTTTCCTAGTAGGATTGAAAAGTATTCTGTTAGCACTTCCTTCCTTCCATGCCTTTTTTAAGTAAAATAAATAAAGTAATAAATTCTCATTGAAAAAAGAGACTAAGAGCACTACTTTGAAGAATATTGGCCTTAGGTCTGATATAAGATGTTGTGTCTGACTTTCTCCACGTGACTGAAATGATGCGCTTTACTTAAGACCTCATAAACTGTTTTATGTTGATACACGTTTAAAATCAGAGCAGCCCGAAGTAGCCCCAACGTGAAGTGTCATTGATAGTCTGTTCCTAACATCCTACTTTAAATATTTCCAGTGTCTCATAGAGGAGCATCCATGTCTTCTGCTTCATCAGACACTGGAATGAGTCCATCATCATCCTCTCCTCCACAGAATGTGCTTGCTGTAGAATGCAGGTGATACACATTTCTCTGCCTTGCCAGCAGCTTGCTGCCATGGACATAAATACTGAAGTCCTGAAATACATCCACAGAAAGCACTCAACTGGTTTGACATTGCCAAGTATATTCTGTACACTCTTCCACTGCTGGACTGTATGTTTGGTTTTTTTCCCCTCCCCTCTTTTTTATTTTTAATTTTACTGTTCGGAGAAATTAAGCTCATTGGTAACCGAAGGTTTGTAGGCACAATCTGACATGTATGTCATTGTGTATATTTGTGTTTTGTCAGCACAGAGAAAGGGCACTTACCAAATTTGAAAAGATATGTCCAATGAAGCCTTCAGGTGTTCTAGGGAAATTGTAGAAAAGCAGGTGCACCCAACAGACATCAAAATATTATCAAAAAGAATCGAGTAACTGCTGCACTTTCCTCGAACTGTATGTTAACTCTTGGTGAGTAGTTCCTCTTTGTGGAAGCACTTGCTATACAGAACTGCCAAAGTATATGTTCAGCAATGTGCCCAGTTTTAAAGGTGTATATGGGACAAAATAAATTGTGAAAGGAAGTGTAGTTTACTGAAAACTACAGTTGTAATAAGTCTTCCACTTTTTATAGGATTTTTGAGCACACAATTATGCAAATATTTTAATGTTTATTAATGTTTACAGTGGAATTGTGAATAGGTTTTCAGTGGACTATCTTATTCCTTGACAAAAATATTTTGTCTTTTTTCTATGTAATTTCAGAGTTTTTATTTTGTTACAAAAAGACAAAAAATGAAATATATAACAACAATGAAGTTATTTAACAAGATTTCTAAAGCTGAAATTTTTTTGTGTAAAATAAGGTATCTTACAACTTGTTAAATATATTTATTCAGACATTGGATGTTGTATTTTTATGTATTTTTTAAAATATTAATAAAATTGGAAAAAAAAAATCTAGGTTAGTTTACTCTTTCGATAAAACATTACCTATCAGTTGTAGCTCTTACAGGAGGTTTATCCAGTAGCCATGCCTGTATGTAAAGTGGGTCTGTCCATACTTATTTTCCACAGTGTAGAACTGTAATCAGGCATTGGATTAAATTATGACCTTATTTGGAAACTTTGGCAGTCCTAGTACTTATTGTTTTGAGGAACAAATTCTATTGGGTTGCCCTTAAGATGCTTTGTCACAGTTTGTTTGCTATACTGCCGAATGAATTTATATCTCCCAGAGCTGAGATGCAACAATAAAGTAAAGCAACTGTGTATGCTTTGTCTGTGGATTGTCCCACAGACAGATACAGTTTGTAAATAACTCTTCCAAAACCATGTATTTAAAACAGTTTGCATATACATTATGTATAAAGTGATTTTTTTATCAATTTTTTAATTCATGTTTGTACATTGAAAAGGGTTTTAACCCTCTTTTTCTGTGTTTAATATGCTGTAGAGTAATAACATAGATGCTCTAGACTGTATATCAGGATATTATGGTTCACACAGCAGAAGGTCGGAGCAAAACACTAGTGATGAGGTAGCATTACTAAAATGGATGTTTCTTGAAATTTCATTTACCACATTTGTCAACTTGTGATTCCAATTCCTTCCATTTTCTCAGAGAATTAAAGAAAAAGTACTCTTGTAAATGCACTTTTTCTGTCTTTTCTTAAGCAAAGCAGAACTATTTCAATGTAAGATAAATATGAAGCTCATTAGAGAGCATCAATAAAGGCCATGTTTTAAACATAGGCTTTATATTTTATTTTTTATTTAAATAATTGTTCTTGTAAATCTACTGACTAAACAATAGGAAACTCAAACTTGATAAAGTGTTGTAAAGACTTTTCAGAGCTACATTTTACTGTTAATTTTATATTAGCTATGAAAAATAATAAAAATACTTATTTTATAAGGAAAATAACATGGGTCACATTTTCTCAAATTATCTTCCATGCTTAATATTTGCAGAAGTTAATTATTGATGTTGAGTGTAATTGAATTAATTCCTGTATTGTTCTTGGATTAATTTACATCTTGTGCAAATATTTAGCCTGTGCCTAAATAGTAGCAGTATTTATAATGAAAAACTGGAAACAATTTGGCCTAAATCACTATTTTAAATATTATAAATTATGGATTAGTCTCCAGCATTCTGTACTACAGTATAATTTCAAAATGGAGAAAGTTTGACTGCTTCTACTTAATTTTTATGATTGTTTAAAATATAGCAAGGAAACTGAAGAGGTGGGTAAAACAACTGTTTAATGTCCGAATATGAATTAGGAATGTTTGTTTTGCAGACGAAAGTTCGTTGAAGGAAAGAAAGAAGGCTTCTTTTTCCTTCTACTTTCCACAGGTGCTTTTCTAGATTATCCACTTGTGTATCAGTTGGGCAGAGTATTCAAATACCAATTTTAATAGGTACTTAAAGCATTCTCTCCTATATTATGTCATTTACAGTATTGTAAAATGAGATGATTTAAATGTTCAATAGGGAACAGTCACTTGCTAGGAAAGGAGATGTATAAGGAGACCTAAAAGCTAAAACTGAATGAGCTTCAGTTCTAGCTTCTGCTGCATTTCCTTTCTCTCCCCCGTCTGAAACAAATCTATATCTTTATTGTCTTAGAAAAAGGTTATATTATGTATTACAAACAGATACATTGATAACAGATTAGCTAATGGTTTACTGTTGGCTGTGCTATAGAGGATCTTTTGGTGGAGTGTATTTCTTCCTAGTCATCCCTGTGTTTTATCCTCAGACTTTATTTATAGGATGTGCCAGGAGAAATGAGTATAAGAAACATTGAGCTGACTCAGTTGTGCACCTCTAACATCCCTTATGTAGCTGAGCTACCAACAAGAGTCACTGAAGAATCTGAGGATGTGCTGTGACATGGCACTAGGAGTGCAAGATTGTGTCAGTGCAAATCAGGAAGAATGAGAATCTTGAACTGGAAATGGCTGTAGAATATTTGTTTTCTTGTTGTGCCTTGGAAGCACATGGATCCTTTCTTCCTCAGTGTTCAGTCCCATGAATATAGTAAAAACCTCTTTCAAAACTTTACTTCATCCAGGGAAAGAAGGCATCCTTCTAATTTTGTTTATATAAACAGCCACTTTGTGTACTAGCTGTGAAAACTGTTGTTAGAAATGTAAGTTTATAAACACCCAGTTAAACCACCTTTTTTTTTTAATTTCCCTTCCAGGCACCAGTTTGCTCAAGATAGCAACCATTCAGTTTAGATAGGCAAGAGAAAAAAAAGACTTAGGCAGGAGAAACAGAGATCCCAGAACAATGTAACACATTCATATTTTGCAAAAATTGGACTGTCAGTGTGTGAAGCAAAGAGGTGGCCTAGGTAAAATATAGTTTTCCTTAACTTAGCAATTAGCAGTGAATGTGAATAAGGGTAAGGATTTTTTTTTAATATATATTTATTTATTTTAACAAAACTTAGCATCTTTAAGGTTTTGCCAGACAGCAGCAGAGGCTCTCTAATTAAAAGAACCTCTGTAAAGCAGCAGAGGTGATAGGGTCTCTTTGCAGTTTACATTTGCAGTTATAGCATGTTCCAGTTAAGGATCTCAGTGTTGTAGAGATAACTTGACAGAGTGAACCAGCACTCCTTTGAAGTACACAGTATCTTCATTTTTTTTACATGAAAAGAAACTGAAGGGTGGAGTGGTTACATAGATGCCTCCAGCAGGGCCAGAAAGAGACCCTAAATGCACTGGTTCCCAGTGTTAACCACAAAACTTTCCAACCTGGCAAACTTCTATTTCTTTTGTTGAACATATGTTTTAGTGCAAATATGAAGCATTTCATGGAAAACCTCAGTTCTGCAATTTCTTCCTATAAATTATGCCTCTCTCTTTGCCCCCTGTTGGATTTGTGTTGATGCTGAAAAGGTGGGGGGGTGTAACTTTTATTGAACTCTACCTGTAGTGATGATTTCTATTATTAATAGCGCAGTAACACTTGCTTAATACTCTAGATTCTTACAAAAATATCATGAGGTTTTTTTCCTGCAGTTTCCACTACTTAATTTTGCTCAGAGGAGGTGGGTTTCCCTTCTTTCACTGCCTCATGGAACAAGCAGCAGGTTCTCAGATAGCATCCATGTGTGAAACCTTTTCTAAACTGAGACTACAGAGATTTAAACTCTTTCAGCAGGTTTGAATGGGATAAAGACAGTTTGGTCCCTTGAAACAAATTGGTTAGATGGTTGAGAATGACATGATAAACCTCTCCACAAACACTCTGAATTGGAGCTTAGCTCTTTGTTTCCCTGCATATTTAATAGATTTTGTGTCCTAGGAATGTGTTTGTTCTTAGCTCTTTACCTGCTACAATATTACAATCATAGTTTGCTGACCAAGGATGATTTTAAAGAAGTATGCAACTATCAGTGGCAAGAAATTTATGAAGGTGTTTCTTAGCTGATTGATACACCACAGGTCAACAATTTCTTACAACACCGACATCTTACAAATAGCTCACTGAGACCAATATTTTTCAAATGTGCTTACATTTTGAGAGAGACAAATTAATTTCAGCGATGGAATATTAGAAATACCAAAACCTATTTCCTTCTCACTTCTTCAGATATCAGAACTGTTGTAGGAAATGTAAGAACATCTACCCACCAATTTCCGATACGTTACAAATACTAAACTTAAGCTTTCCTGTTGTCAGGTCTAAGTGAGGAGGTATTGGTACATACTCATTTTTGGAAATCTCTGAGTTTATCTTGTGAATCATGTGCATGTTTGCATACCTAAAAGTGCTAATACTGTGTGGTACCCCCTGGCATCCTTAAAAGAATCTTACAGACCTTTGGTTGCCAGTCCCTGGTTCTAGAGCACGTTGGTTGAGTTTTAATACGGCATACCTGAACCAAAAAAAATCTCTTATCAAGGAGTTTCTGTAGTTGTTGAGAGGTAATAAATATCTCCTACCATTTTTATTTCTGAACTGGAAATACTGTAATTCTTCATGTCTCTGTGTAACTAGGACTTTCCTTACTACTTCTGTCACTTTGAACTCTCTCAACGTTGTTGTTGTTGCTGTCCCTCTTGCACTAAGCAGTGTCTTACTTCACATGGAACCGTCACGTGCCACCACTCCATCCTGCTGCTGACATGGGTGATGATGCTTAAAAAAATAGTTGTTACTCCTACCAGTAAAACTCTACTCCAAGAGCTACAACTGTATTGTTGGTTAAGTAACATGAACATTATCCTCTGTGATTTTAATGAGACTGCTTCCTGTGAAGTGTCCAGCTTCTCTCTGTGGTCTCCTTATAAGCTTGACGCAATGACATGGCAAGGATTGCATAATTACTGTGATGACTGCTTTTACTGTTCTGCCACTAAATTTCAGTGTTTACTTTCTTTGGAATGAGTAATGGCTTTGGTGTTATGGGACCCTATGGGACTCCGGGTTTTTTTGGCAACGTTTGTGCTTTTTCTCTGTCTCTGACTCAGTTAGACTCTTAAAAGAGTGAATTATTTCTCACTGGTTGTCTCTATTTTCTCAAGCCGTGATAGCAACCTAACAACACTGTATAGTCCAGCCCCATCCATTTCCTATGCTATTTTAAACTCCTCCATTTCTAATCCCGCAGCTTGGTACGGTCTGACCTAGTTGATGTGATCCTGCCAGCTACGCCAGTTACATAACCAGGATGAAATGTTTTGGAATGTATATTAATAACTTATTTCCTCACAGATTTTTTTTTCCTTTTTCAAACAAGCCAGTAGACCTTTTAAAAACACCCATGGGTGCATCCACATGAGCGTGCACGTGCCTCTTGCTGCATCTCAAACCCCTTTGAGACACGGCAAGAGGTACGTGCGGAAACAAAAAAATGTTCCCCGCGCTGCAATTTTGCAGTGCAGGAACAAAATTAGACCAAGGGGTCAAAAAAACTGCTCCACAGAACAGCGAGGCAAGGCACGGTCCCAGACCATGCCTGGAGCAAACATAGGAGTCAGTCCTCCAGAAGAGACGCTTTGGTTTTGGCCAGAGTATCTCTGTGGTGCTCCTGCTGGCTGCCAGCGCTGTCCAAGGTAAGCTAGGGAATGGGTGTGGGGGTTTATGGGTGTGGGTAGGTGTAAGTGTGGCAGGGGGATGTCAGGGAGTGTTTGGAATGGAGGGGGTCTGGGGGGTGGAAGGAATGGGGAGCGGCAGGGGTGCCGTGTTCCAGGTGGGGACGTGGAGGGGCCTGAGCAGGGCTGCCACACACCTGCCCCTCCACCTGGCCCCCGTGG